TGCTCAGTGGTAGAGCACTTGCCTAGCATGTATGAGGCACTGGGTTCGATTCTCAGCACCAAATATAAATAAATAAAGCCCATTGGCAACTAAAAAAATTTTTAAAAAGAATAAGAAAGGAGATAACTTCAGGAAAAAAGATAAGACAGGAAGGCCTGAGAGGAGCAGCTGGGGTAAGCAAACAATGGAGACCCCTGAGTTTCCTATGTAGCCATTTCCCTCTACTCACCATACCCTGTGTAGAGGTCAAGTGAGAAAACTGAGGCTTAGGAAGGGATAAGGAGAATGTGCTTTGAGGAAGAAGTCTTGAAATGGGGGGAGGAGGGGACTACATGCTTTGGACTTACATGTATTCTTAGGAAAATCTTTTCTGTGTTCAACACCAATTGGAGCAGAGGATCCAATTGTCCCTGGTTGCCCTCAAAGGCTGGAAGAGATGCTGGTACTGTGCCCAATTTTCTAGTGGATGCTGAATCAGGAGGCATAATGGGGGCCACTAGGTTGACGCTGGGGGTCCTAGGACTTGCTAGGAGGCTTGGGCACTTAGCTGGTTGGATTTAGTCCACTACTACAGGCAGGTTCATTGTGGCCTCATTCCTCATACTAGTCCCAACATTTTACTCTTTCAAAATGCACTAGGTCTGGCCTGTAAATATTTCCAATATATCTAGAAAAAGGGAGGTCTGGAACTGGCCTGGCTCAGCCCTTTCTTTAAAAAGACTTAGCCCCCAGAAGAGAGGGCTGAGCAGATGGGAGTGAGGGTTAAAGGGTGTTGGCTAGAGAAAGGGGGGTTAGTATCTGCTTGGAAAAGCAGCAGGGGTTTAAATACCTGTGGGAGATGAAAGCAAAGAGGACCCTGGGACAAGAAATGTAGATCAAAGGGTCACAAAGGCCCTAGCAGCATTAGCATGCCTGCCTCTGGCCCTACTAACCCCCCTAGGGCCATTTTCTCCATGGTCCTTAATTCCCAAAGTGGAAACGGGGGAGCAATGCACCTTAACTCAGCTGGCATCTGCACCTCTGCAGTGGTTCTGGTTTCCCTGCCTGGGTTGCTGGAGATACACTAATACATGCACAGGAGATGAAAAACTGCAATTATTTAATTCAGAACAGAAGTTGGGGGTGGAGTTTAGGCTTAATGCCTGTGAAATCTCCAACGGATTGTTATGTAGAAGAGGAATGGTAGCTGACTGAACTCAACTCCACCCCTAACACACACACACACACACACACACACATGAAAGTCTTAACTATACCATGAGAGGCTCAGATTAGCTTTGAAAAAGAACTTCCTGGTAGTAATATGAGTGATCCAGGAATGAGTGACACAGGAAGGCTTAAAATATTTCCTCTGGGGGCTTAACCTTTATCATTTAGTTTATCTTCCTAGACAGGATTTCAAGCAGGAAAATTGATGGAATAACACTGGACATCTCCCCTTCTATCCTCAGGTTAAATCAGTTAAATATCAGGTAATATCAGTTAAAAATCAGTTAAATGAGGGTACTGGAAACCTCTTTGTTTCTACAAGCCAGGCTTGCTGTTATTTCTCACTCCATTATTCCCTGGACCAATGGAGCAGAGCTATTCCCCTCATACACACTTTTACGAGAATGTGAATGTAACAGTTCTTGAGGAATTTTTAACACCTCTACTATACTAGGAGGGAATCATTAAGCTGCCAACTTCTTCCAACTATCTTCCCTCCTTCTGAAAATTTCAGCTCCCAATATATTGCAACTAAGACCAAGACTCAAAAGAGACATGAAAAGGGCGATGGGCTCACCTACAGGCAGCCACCAAGTTAAATCAGCATGCTTTCACTGGGGAGGGGGGGAGTTGAGAGGAGGGAGGTAGTTAATGAGATCTGCATTAAGTGGAGGTCCCTGGAGACTGTGACACAGTATAAAAGGCTGTAACACAGGAGACAGTAGCCTCTCCCTAAATAGCTATATGACTTTAAGAAAGCCCCTGTTGTTTTCCAGACTCAGGATTTCCATTTGCAAGCAGAAGGGTCTTAACTGGTGCTCCCAAAGGTTTGTCTAGATGAGAAGAAGGGGTTCAGCAGAGTCCTAGAAGACACTTCTCAACCCCTACCACATTAGTATTTAGGCTCCATGTTCTCGCCGTCCCTACCTTGCCCCATCAAGGCAAAAGATAGGCCGAAATAGTGAAACTTCCCTCTGAAGACAATCTGCCTGCAACTCGAAGACCAAAAGTGGCCTCTAAATGACTTCCAGCAGGTTTCCAATCCCTTTCTAAGACACCTTTCTAAAACCCTTTCAACAATTCTGTTTTTATCATGGCATATTTATACACAAAAATACCAACCCATCCCCCAATTCCCCACTCTTCAAAGCCTCCTTCCCCCAAAAGGATTACATTGCCATTCCACAGTCAGGCATTTGGAAACACCCACCACTGGGCCCCATTCTCTTCTCTACCTTTGAGACATACTATTTCAACCAGAATAAGCTCAATCACCTTACTCATACTGCCTGCCAGTCACCCCCTCCCATTCCTAATTTTGCTGGCCTTTTGCCTACCAAACCCCTCTACTTTCTGGCAGCTTCCCAGTATGATCCCCCTGTACATACAGATCTTTCATCTCTCTCTATGGCAGTTTGCCTCCAGGCTTATGAATCAGCAACCAAAGGTATGCAGTCTGGATTCTGAGCAGTCCAGTCTCCGAGATGAGATTGTTGTTGAGGGGATATATCATAATATATTTCCTCTTGCAGTTACAATTCGCTCCCCTTCTCCACCCTAATTGGACATACTCAGTAAATGTCTGAGCCTCGAGTATTATTACTCTAGTCATTTTCATATGGATCAGAACTAGCACAAGTTGGAAAGGTAAAGATCTTCTCAAAAGCTCTACAAAGGCAGTGAGTCCTTCCAAAGCATTCATTAACTGCTCTGTACTCCTAGGCACTGAGAGGGTTGTGGCTTAGATCCAGGTTTCATTTACTCTGCTGAGGGGTTCTGAGAAAATCCAGACATCTGGTATATCAGGGAGACAAAGCAGAAGCAGGAGAATTTAATTATAGTCAGCCTCCTATTATAATTTAAGCTCAAAACTGAACAAGAGACCCAGGCATCCCTGGAAGAATTCTGAGAAAGAAGAGGTCATTATTGGTTGGAAGAAGCAGGCAGGAAAGGCACCAAAGAAGGTAGGCTGAAAACTGGGGCCTAAGAGGGATGAGGATTTGGAGAGGTGTGTAGGGTGAGTGGGTTTTGGTATTAAGGAAGAGAATTATACAGAGCAGATACATTAGGTGGCTGTTGGACTGAGGCAAAGGCCTTAGGCAGGAGAAGCCTACCTTCAAGTACAGGTTTACGGCTGGGGCCTGGACAGTATAGGAGGTGACTGTTGTGTAGTATCTGCAGTTCTAGCTGGGATCAAAAAGGTCCCAAACTAGCCTTCCCCTAGGTAAGGGATTCTTTAGGTCTCATTGCCTCACCTCAAAGAGCCCTGCAGCTCATAGAGCTTTCCACTCTTATAGGTTGATCAAAGGTCTGAGAAGAGCCTGCCAAGCCTTTTGGTCATTCTCTCCCTCCTGTTCCTCAGGAAAGCCAAGAGAGCCTATTGCCAGAGGTAGAAGATGTTGCAGTGGGTGGGGCCCAAAGAGGGGAGCTACACCGCGGGAGGGGGGCTCTGCTGGAATCCCAGAGGGTGAGGCAGGGAGTTCAACAGTGCAGTGCCCTCTGCCCTGCCCATGCCTCTGCTGCTGCGGTAGGCTGGGAGAGCTGCAGAGGAAGGTGTTTGTATGCTGGACAAGGCTAGCCTTGACCACGAGGCCCACTCCAAGGCGAGCCTGGACAGATGGAGGGCGACTCTTAGGGGCTAATCCAGCTGCTGCCTGGGGCCCCAGGCTGTGGTGAGCCTGGAGGGATTGGCCCTTCACTGCCAGGGAACCCAGGCGAAGTCTGATGTTTGGGTGGTCATCAATGTCAGAGGTGCCTGCAGCAGACAATGACAGCGGCCCAGCGGCCTGGGTATTTTAAGTAACTGCGAAGTTGTAGGGTTTGGCTGCCTCGCTAGCTCTCTCACACACATACTGTTTGTTCCTTACTACAATAACTGCCCTCTCGGTCTCTGGTTCTGAAATCCCCCCACAACATAGTGCCTATCGCAGTTATAAAATGGGAGGCTGCAGAGAAAAGCGCGGCTAATGCCCTCCAAGGGGAAAAGAGGCGAGGCGAGGGGGGAGACAAAGCGGCCTTGCAGCTCTAACCCAAGGACTAGCTTTTGCTGCTGCTCTAACCCAAGGACCTGCAAGAGCCAGGCTGCTGGCCCGCCTGCCAGCGGGGGCGGGCGCCAGATGTGTCTGGAGGCCCAGGAGGAGGGGGTGCGGCTGGTTGAGGCTGCAGGACCAAGGTTCAAGAGGGAAGTCAGCAGCTCACAGGCCCAATTGCGCTCCCCTGGGGAGGGCACAGGCAGTGTGAATCTCCCAATTCACGCCAAAGCCAGTCTCTACTGGGCCAAGCTAGAGCTTCTACTTAGTCTGCAGAGAGAAGGGAGAGGCAGGAGATGCGCAGCAGAGGGGAGGGGCCGCAGCAGGGCCGCGGGGGTGAGCAGTACCCGTGTAGCACAGCTGTTCCAGCAAATGTGCTACAACAAAGCTGTGTAACTCCCGGCCTACGAATGCACTGCTTGGGGTTCTGGCTGGTGGCGCCCCACCCGGGACCGCGCGGCAGCACGTGCAGGCCCATCCCCGCCTCCCTCGAGAGCCCAGAGGCATTGCACAGTCTAGCCTGCCCGCCTGCCCGCCCTTTCCACCATACCCCTAGCCACGGTCGCCCGCGCCCTGAAGACTCGCGGCCGCTTAGCTCCCCACTGGACAGTTCGCAAAGCGGGTTCCGAGGGAAAGCGTTGAATGGCCCGGACTCCAACCGGCCCAATCTTTAGTGCCCTCCTCCAGGCGACCAGAGCGGAGCACGCGGGAATGTACCCGACCGCCGGCAGGCGGAGGCTCCTGGCTGCGCGCAAAGCTTACCCGGCCGGGTCCTGCTCCCAGCCCGGTTATTGTCTGCCGCGCCGCTCTGGCCCGGGCCAGAGTCTCAGCTGTTGCGGCTGAGAGCGCCGCCACTGCTACTCCTGCTGCCGCCACCGTCGCCGTCGCCGCGGCTCCAGTCACCTCCGGCACAGACTCTCCTTCCCCAGGCTCTGGGCAGCTCCCCCATTCCCCCTCCTCACCCCACCCCCGACTCCACGACCACAGGGTGGGGCGTCCGTGCCATGATTGGCAGGTGTGTAGCCCAATCGCTAAAGTGGGAAGGCGTGCCCGAGCCCGCCCACTGTTTTCCTTGGTGCCTTTCTCTTTAAATGCAAATAAGCGCGGGCGTGGTGTTGGCAGGGGGCGGGGAGGGTACGGAACCCCTTGCTGGGGCTCCGCAATCCCGAAGCCGGGCGGGTTGTGGCGTGGCTACAACGCCAGCTCTGGGGCCGGTCCCGCCCAGATGGGGCTCACAGGATCCCTGGAGCTGGGTTTCGGTTTTGCGAGCACTCGCATTTCCGTGGTCGCTGTGCATTTGCGCTATAGCTCCCTGGCCTCCACCAGGCAGTTTATCCACAGAACTTGAGGCCGGTGGGGAAAAACGGGGTAGGGAGATTGTGGCACCTGGAGGGACTGCAGAGCCCCTTGGCACCTTGACTGGCCCGCCCTTAGACATAGAGGCAGGAACTGTGGCTCCTGCTCCGAGGCCACGCAGAAGAGGGACTCACCTGCCAGGAAAGTCAGCTGCAGCGCCCCAGCTTCCTTTGCTTCTCTAACACAAGGGCCCTCAGGGACTGCACCATAGAGGCCAACTGCCACCAGTTATCAACCGGCCCACTGCTGCTCAGAGAACTTCTCCAAGGTTACCCAGTCCGCCAATAACAGGGCAGAATTGGAATCCAGAGCCCTGGGCTCATCCTCCCAGGCTGCTTTCACTTTTCTTCTCTGGGAAGATACCTGCTTCATAGTTTGGCTCTCATCGAAATTCCCCACCTCCCAGAGAACATGGAGAACAAGGTCTCTAGAGTGCTCTCCACCTTTAATTGTGAGCCTGACAGTGCAGATCCTTTTCACTGAAAAGTCTGCATATTGAGAGAAAAATCTTGTCTGGGCCTTTAACCGGAGGTCATAATGAGGACTGAGTGAGGAGGCCTGCACTTTACTGCCTTTCCCTTTATTGTGTGTCTGGGATGTGGCAGGGGGCCAGCTGTGTTTGGGTCTCTAGCCAGAAGACATTAAGTCACATTTGTGGCTGCAAGGGCCAGGTGAGCAGAGGCAACAAAGAATCCAGTTCTACCACTAAGTCAAGAATATCCAGAAGGCCCAGCCCTAAAACTCTGTGACTGTCTGAAAAGGTGGGGAGGGGGAGGTGATTAAAGTTGAGAGGAGGAAGGATTAGAGAACAATGTGAGACAATTTTTCATTTCAGGAGTATTCTTTGCTGCTCTACAGGGTCCTGTCTGCCTTGAAGAGATCCAGTTGCTGAACTGATAGAGGTGGACTGCTTTCCCTGCAGTTGTGGGGCACAGGAACTGACTGACATGGCTACTAGGACTGGGATCTGGTTTCAGCTTTGCCTTGGACTTGCTGTGAGACCTTGGCCAATGCCTTTTCCTCTCTGGGACAGTCTAACATCCTATCTCCACAAGGATGGGGTAAGCTCTATAAGTTCAACTCAATTCTTTATATAATATTCTTTGATGTTTCTTGACCTTCTATGACTTTCTGTACATCTCCAACAAAAAAAAATCAACATCAAACATCACACCCCCATCCTAGTCCCGGGTCTAAATAAATGGTAGGGAATAGGCCTAACATATAACATTGGTAAATCTCAGATTTCCCACCTAGATGGCTGGACTGTTGTGTTTCACTGGAGCTATGCTTTCCTGATCTACAAAGTTCTGATTCTTATTTGTTGGGCTTGATTTGGAAATTTTCTTTTCTTTTCCATCACCTCCATCTTAGGCTTCCCTGATGCCTTGTGCCTCTGTTTACTTGCCTTGGTCTCATTTCACTTAGAACCTTCATTCTCTGAATTAGGTCAAGATTGTAATTTGGAGAAAATGCTGGAACCCAGGGAAACAAAGACCTAGCACAGTTTCGGCTGTGGGAACAGAAAGAGAGAAGGTATGCATGGTAGTCTGGGGTGGGCTTGAAGTTCTCCTGAGCACTGTTGAGCTCCTCCTGTTACAGGAGCTAATCTGCCAAGCCTATTGCTAGCCATCAAGCATTCTTCCACAGCAGTCAGTTTTGGAAGCAGTGCAATGTATGCAGGTTAATTCATCACTCTGAGTCTCAATTTTCTCTTCTATCATATTGTCACAGAGTTGTTGTAAGAATAAACAGTATTCCATGTAAAGTGGCACAGAGCCTGGTATATACAAAGGTCTCAATGTTAGCTTCTGTTGTTGTTGTTGTTAATATAATTACTATTATTATTATTATTATTTTCCTTCTTTTCCAATGCATGTATCTTCAAAGTTCTAGAACTCAGTGTATGACTTTGAAATCACTTTTTAATATAAGCACAAATAAGCCTGTGATAACTTATGCACAGATTACTTTTGCTTATGCAGTTCCCAGAGTAGAGTCTCTTGTTCATATTTATATTCTCAACATTGAACAAAGTTTGGCAAAAACTCATCACTGAGCATATGTTTGCTAAACATACTCAAAGGAGACATTTTTAGGTCTAATATCAAATTTAGGCCTAATCAACCATCAGTGAAGTGTGATGATGTTGCTTACTGAGCACCTCCTCTGTGTCAGGTTCTCTGTTAAGTGCCACATTCATCACACAGAATGGTAAACTGGACAAATATTCTGTCCTCAAGGGTAATCAGTCTATTAGAGGAGGAACACAACTTCCCACACTGCCTTGCGGTTTCCAACTTGGGCAAGGAATTGTTGGATGGTGTTGTCACCCATTGAACTGAGGAATATAGGAACAGGATTAGGGAAACATGATTCTGTTTAGGCCATTCTGATTTTGGCAAGTCAGAAATCACAACTTGGGGCTGTGTACTTGCTTTTTCCTCTGCCTATGATGTTTGTCCTCTGCATATGGGAATGGTTTGCACCTCACTTCCCTCAGGTATCTATTCAAATGTTTCTAATAGTGAGATCTTCCCTAGACACTTGATACAAAAAATAGAAATCCCAATTCTCACCCCTTTCATTTCCAGTCCTTTAATTGGCCTCTTTCCTATCCATGGAATGTACCACCTTTTGGCATATAATTTTGTATCTATTTTTATTATCTTTTTTTCAGTGTCTTTTTTTCCTATCATAATAGAAGCTCTGTGAAGGCCAACAGACATTGAACAAAATATATATGTAAAATATACAGTATGTCAGATGGTGATAAATGTGATAGAGAAAAATAGAGTAGGGGAAGGAGTAGAGGGTGCACTGCTGCGAAGGGTGCTGTTTTAAATAGGGAATTTCAGTTATCCCCCACTGAAAAGATGAGACATTCAAGCAAAGACCTAGAAGAATCAAGAAAACAAACCATGAGGACATCTGAAGGAAGGACCTTCTAGGCAGAGGGAACAGGAAGTACAAAATCCCAGAAGTGATAATATGCTAGAATGTTAGAGAAAAACCAGACAGCCAGTATAGCTGTAACAAAGGAAGTAAGGGGGCAAAGTGGTATGAGAAGAGGCCAGAGAGGGCATGTGGGCAGATATATATGGCTTTGTGAGTCAGTTTAGATACTTCAGACTTTGCAGGATTTAGAGCTGAAGAGTCACATGATTTTAGTGAAATGTCTAGGGAGTACTAGCAAGAGAAGCATCAGGGAATCCAGGAAGTAGGTTTTAATAATGAGCTAGGCAAGAGCTGACAGTAGCTCAAATCACCGTGTAGGCAGTGAGGTGGTGAGAAGTATTTGGATTCTGGATGAACGCAGAAGATAGAAATGGCTGAACTTCATAATGGCATATTAGATGATGGCTATGAAAGAAGAGAGGAGTAAGGGAAATTAGCCCCCAAAGCCCTGAGAGGGAAGAATTGGCTAGGTGAGGCCAAAGCCAGGAGAGCTGTCTCTCTCCTGAAGCCAAGGAAGACACTGGGGTTTTATGAAAAATAGTGTTGCCAAGAATGTGTCAGATGCTACTTTGGGGTACAGCAAGATCAAAGTAGAAAATGTATCATTGGATATGGCTCTAGAAATTCACTGGTGGTGTGGCAAGGCCGTTTAGATCAGAAGTGGGGATAACCATCACACTATAGTAGGGTATCAAGAGAATTGTTGGTGAGGAAAGGAAGAATATATACAGCCTCCTTATTCCAGAAGTTTGATTGGAAAGAGGTGGTATGCATTAATCAGATTTTCAGCACTGTGACTAAAATACCTAACAAGAATTATTTAGAAAGAAATATTTATTTGGGGCTCATAGTTTCAGAGGTTCAGCCCATTGTCAGCTGGTTCTGTGCTCTGAGCCTGGGGTGAAGCAGAACATCATGGTGGAAAGGTGTGATGGAGATAAGCTGTCAGCTCATGGCTGTAGAGAAGCAGAGAGAGAATCTGATAAGCCAGGACAAAACATAATCCCCAAGGGCATGTCACCAAGTGACTTACTTCCTCCAGCCACAACCCACCTACCTACTATTACCACCCAGTAATCCATTCATATTATTTTCCAAATGGATTAGTTCACTGATTAGGTTACAGCCCTCATAATCATTTTCCCTCTGAAAATTTCTGCATTGACTGACATGGGCTTTTTGGGTGACAACTTATATTCAAACCATAACATGGTGGCTAGAAAAGTATTTGAGGTTCAGGTTTATATTTACAAGTTGGAAGGATGTGAGCTCATTTAAAAGCTGAGAAGAAAGTCAATCCAGTAGAAGACATAGGAGACAGGATAGTTGATAGGTTGGGGACCATGGATAGGGGTAGGGGATGGGATCCATAGTGAATACAGATGAGTTAGCCTTGGTTAGGAGGAGGAACCAAAACAAGAGGGAAGGATGGGTGGATTCAGTAGAGTTAGTTGTTATAGTAGTTTGAAGCTGTCATGCCTAATGCCTTCTACCTATTCTGGGATGTGGGAAAAAATGTTCCCAGTTGACAGCGAGAGTAAAACAGTAGTGGGGGTGGGGATGTTCAAGCAAGCTTGTTAATATGGGATGAATTTTGAAATAGCTAATGCAGAGAATGTCTACTTGATAAAGGTCCAGGTTTGTTGACACCTAAAGATATATGGCAATCTCATTCTATAATTTTGTGAGATCCTGCTTCCTAGCCATGTGACTTTGAACAAATTACTCAACCTCACTGCACCTCAGTTTCCTTATCTACAAAATGGGCATGAGTAAGGCAGGACAATTGAATTATATGAGTTAATTCATTTAAAGTGATTACTTAGCATATTTCCTGGCACATAATAAGTGATTGATAGAAAGTATTTATATTTCTTTTTAAAAACTTATTATTTCGGCTTGACAAATCACAAATGCATATATTTATGATGTATAATGTAATGTTTTGATACATGTGTAACGTGGCAAGATTAAATCAAACTAATTAAGGTATTCATCATCTCGCCCATCATTTTTTATGATGAGACATTTAACATTTACTTTGTTGTTTTGAAATATGTAGTACATTATTATTGACTGTAGTTACCTTGCTATAAAAATAGATCTTAAAGCCTATTCTTCCTGTCTAGCTGAAACATGGTTTCTTTTGATTGACAACTCCCATTCTGTCCTCTTTACCTCCTCAGTTTCTGATAACCATTGTTCTACTCTTATCTATATAGATTTCTGTGTTAGTCATTTTGATTTATTTTATGGCATCCATCATCCTGGGCTTAGGAGAGTACATTGGCTTGCTCCAAAATGAGTATGTTACTGGATGAGAGACTGAAGTGATTGAACACAGAATCAACTGATGAATGGATAAGGAAAATGTGGTACATATAGTCAATAGAATATTATTTAGCTATAAAAAGATGAAATCCTGTCATTTTTAACCACATAGATGAATCTGGGGATCATTTTGTTAAGTGAGATAAGCCAGGCACAGAAAAACAATACCATATACACTGACTTATTTGTGGAATCCTAAAGAGTTGATCTCATAGAAGTTGAGAGTAGAATGATGATCACCAGAGACTGGGAACAGTAGAGGAGAAGAAATGTCAGGGAGAGGTTTACCAATGAGTACTTGTTGGGTTTTAACACGAGTCAATGTCGAAGAAGGCTTGCTGTTCCTGAATGTATATATTGTCCTTGTTAAGGGTAAAGGAAACTGGTCACTTCTCTCATCTCCAATCATTAGGTGTGGATCAAAGCTAAATGACCTTGGTTGTGAAGTAAAGGAATATACTCATAAAATATCTGAAGTAATCCATCTGCACAGTAGGCATACAACTTATCCTATATTCCCTACCACTTGCCAGCATAGTGCTGCCCTCCATATTGTCCCTGCCTGCTGTCACCGAGAAATACACAAGTAATAAAATGTCCAAACCCTCTCAGTTGATTACTCCAAGTTGTTGGAATTCTTTGGAATTGGTAAACAATATTCTGGGGCTTTTACAGCGCTGGGATTAAACAGTATTAAGTTATAGTTAGATAGGAGAAGTAAGTGCTGATATTTTATTGCATATCAGGATGACTATAGATAATGATAATGTAC